AAGAAGAGACTGGACAGCTGTTTGTCTGAAATGGTGTAGGGTTCCTGCCTGGGCAGGGGGTTGGACTCGATGACCTCCAAGGTCCCTTCCAACTTTATTATTATTATTATTATTATTATTATTATTATTATTATTATTATTATTATTATTATTATTATTATTATTATTATTATTATTATTATTATTATTATTATTATTTGCAGCCCAGGGTTTTAGATTTTGGGCTGTGGTTTGTTCTCCAAGCTTCTTTTAATAGAATTCCTGAACATTTCGTTACCGAACGAGGTAAGGGTTATTTAGGGTTGGTGGGAAGAATCCAGAGAAAGAAAGATTTTTGGGAAATATTAAAAAGGCAGAATATATTTCGATTATCACATCGGCATTTCTGTTTGGGGCAGAGAGACTTTTTTTTGGGGGGTGGTGGTGTTGGTTTCTGCTTTTAAAATCCTTGGGGGAAATATATTCTGCCTTTTTAATATTTCCCCAAATATTTCTTTCTCTGGATTCTTCCCACAGGTTGGAGAGGGTCTTTGCTTGGCTCCAGGACTGATGATGCATCTTGACCAAGCCCCCCCCCCTCACTGGAGAGTGATGGAGTAGTAACATTTCTCACTTGGCCCCAGGTGACAAAGCCCTGTGGCCTTAGAAAGGAGAACAAAACAAATTGCGGGTTTTTGTGCTTTGCCAAATGGCCAGAAAAGTCTTTTGTAGATCTTCCCCCAAGAGAATTTGCTTTGAGCCTCCCAACAGGCCGATGTAATTATGCTGCAGAAGGTGTGTTTCAATGTAAAAATAAAATACCTTTTTGGTGTTTTTCCCCCCCAACACAAGCATTTCTAGGTCCAGAATACCTGAGATAGCCTAAATTGTAATAGTAGAGGATGGGACGTTGAAGCAGCAAGGAACAATGTCTAAGCCTAAGGGGTAGTCCTTGAATCCACCACCACCCCCCCAAAAATGTCAGGTTTGTTAGGAATAAATTTCTGTTTCTTTCCCCACCATAACTGAGGCTGTTCCGTGGCAGGGAAGGTCAATTCCTCAAGGGAAATAAACTTCCATAAATAACGGTTTTTGTCACCGGACGCTGGAAATAGATGCTCGGGAATTGCACGCGGAATTGCATGTTTCTCCCAGAGAAACTGAGGCACGTATGCCATTGGCAGGGACGAGGTTAGCCCACGCCACCGAAGCAGAGGGCACACCGTTACATGTATGTAACACGCAGCCCCTTGGGCTGTTTTTCTCCACCCAACCTCTCCACAAGAAGCATGTTGCGTTGGAAAAGACCAAAGAACACACACCACTGGAAAACTTTGTGTCTTTCTGGCTGATGTTATCCTCTGAAAACGAAGACCAAAAACAGAGCCGTGGCTTATAATAATAATAGTAATAGTAATAGTAGTAGTAATACTACTACTATTAGTAGTACTAATTAATACTACTACTATTAGTAGTAGTACTACTACTATTAGTAGTACTACTAAGTATTAGTAGTACTAATACTACTACTATTAGTAGTATTAATAGTAATAATAATAGTAGTAGTAGTAATAATAATAATAATAATAATAATAATAATAATAATAATAATAATAATAATAAAGTTGGAAGGGACCTTGGAGGTCATCTAGTCCAACCCCCTGCTCAGGAAGGAAACCCTATACCGTTTCAGACAAATGGCTGTCCAGTCTCTTCTTAAAAACTTCCAGTGTTGGCGCATTCACCGCTTCTGGAGGTTTCTGTGTTTTTGTGTCTTGATTTCTCTGCTCCGCGTTTGAAATTGAATAAAAGAATTTCAGTTTTAATTCTCGTCTGAACTCTGGGGAGAAGTTTTGAGTTTCAGAACCGTGGGAAAAAAACACTCTTTGAGACTCAGAGGTTGGAAAAATGAAGACTAGGAAAATCTACTACCAGCTCTCT